TATAAACACTGCTTAGCAACAACTAAAACATCAGTGTGTTATTACATTATTCTCATGTTAAATCCAAAACACAGCACTGTACTAGCTACTAGGATGAAAATTAACTCTATCCCTGCCGAAACCAGGAAACCTTGTTTTTTTCTGTAGGTTTTTTTAAACTTAAAAGTCACTATTAGTCACCAAGAACCGATGCTTTATCATTGCTTTAAAAGAAATCCCAAATAAACCCCATTAACCTGTCTCTTATCTCATTTTCTTAAACTGATACAAACTAGAAACCTACCGGGAACAGCCCAGAAACATGGCTTTAATGGTTGCTAATAACATTAGAGTATGTTAGTTTAATAAAAATAGACCCTTGTCCTTCATTCTTTTCTCTTCACCCCCAGGAAGAGGTGACTATGTGGACTCTCTTGACATGTCATAGGCAAAGCGATGCTGACAGCATATCAAAACGGGGTCTTCCCAAGCTGCAGCCAAAACTGTAAAAAGCAGGAAATAGACTCCTCAGGTAGCACTGCAAGTTCACGTTCACTTACCAAGTTGCCTATGTAAAGCATGTGGTCAAACTCCTTCGTCATCTTATAATGCTCCAAGGCCATGAAGAGTGTGTTCAGCACAATGCAAAGGGTGATGGTGAGGTCGGTAAATGGGTCCATTACCACAAACTTGACAAATTTCTTGATTAAAAGCCAAAGCGGGCAGCAATCCCAAATGAGAAATTTAACAGCAAAGTGGTTCCAGCAGGGAGGACATTTCTGGTGTGATTCCTCAAGCTCTAAGTCACAAGCAGCAAAGTAACAGTCAATTCACACTGAGTTATATGACAAGAGAACACTTAAAATGACTCATAACGTAGAGAAAGGCCCCTGAATTACCTCAAACTTTTTTTTAGGATAAAAATATTTCTGTCCTAACAGGCTGGCAAATTACGCACTTTGGGTTTTTTGCCAGTTGACCTGCACTTAGCAGACAGTGACCTATTCTGAAAGTAATAACCTTTTAAAAGTGTCACAAGCAAAAACGGAGAATCACACTATGGATGTAAAGTCTAGTATTATATATAGGCTCAGACTTTTACTCTGTTTTCCATTTTGGCAAGTTCAAATGGATAAGAATACACTATCTTCATTTAACTTAGATTTGAATATTTTTTTTTCATTCCCAGGTCCCATTTTAGAAGTATCTTAAGTAATACCTTTTAAAGCGGTTAAGAGATGAAAGAGCTTAAATCCAATATTTAGAGCTGATTTAAGCGCTTGAGAGCCAGAGTATCACTGGTTATCAATAGGGTTTCGGTTCTTGATGTGCAATCCAAACAGGCATTAAGCATCTGTTTTCTTCTGAAAGGCCCACATACAAAATCAGGGGAGTGCATAAGTTAGTTTGAAAACGCTGCTAAAGCTCCATTGTGTTTTTTAAAGATGCTTTTACAATATTACCTAAAATACAGCTTTTATATGTTCATTTTATTTGATCACAAAAGAAGTGAAATAGCTTCATAAGTATAATTTGTGTTAAACAGTGAAAAAGAAAAGCCAAAAAAGACAGTTAATGGCTGAATGATAATGATTAGCGGAATTGCTTAATGCTTTCCTTTTCTGATTCCTTTATGGGCATGGAATGCTGCATAACGGTTTTAGTCTATATAATTAGAACCTGCACTGATAACAGGAAAACTTCAGCCAAGGCTGTTATTTCAATCAGTTTATAAACAGCCTCCTCTCTCAAGCCAGGATGCATTCTTCGTGCATTTTCCGTCATTGGACAACAGAACTGCGGTATTAGGTGTCTTCTAGCAAGCTTTCAAAATATCGGATGATGTCCTCCATGCACAGGTTTTGCGCAAACATCTACACTGCTCCGAGATCTCTGGGAAACCAAATTGCTCCCAAGCAATAACTATGTCTTTCCAGCCTCCAAACACAGGGTTTACAGGTAAGTGCCTAAAATGATGTGAGAACCATCCGTACGCCAAACAATTTCAATGCAAAATCCTAATTTTGCATTTTTTTGGAAACCCTCCTCAAAGTAATAAAGACTTTGGGGCAGTCACTTCCTAAAGGACCTAATTTTCCAGGTAAATCCAGAAGAACACATCTGTCTATATCCATACTCCTCATAATCACTTCTAACCAACCCGGCTTATTCCACTGTTATTAGTTTTGGGACCTTCAATGATGGACACACATCAGATGTGTGACTCTTTTCTCTGAGGCTCCACACTCGACACATGCCCCTTTAAGTCCAGGTTGCTGCTGAAAGGGGCATCCCTCTCAGCCACAGGTTATTTCTCTGTCCTTTTGACAGCTTTTGTGCTCCTGGACCTTCTGGGTGTGCTGGTTCTGCTCGCTGATCCAGCTGAAAACCAATTGCTTGTACGGTCAAATCAAACTGCAGGAACACAGCGAGGGGAGGAGAAAGGTGTGACTGTCCTCTTTTGGCAGTGATGTGGCATTAAAATGGTTTAAATCAATCAAGAACCCACATCCTTTTCCCAGAACGGGTGACCTTTAGAAATCACAACAGATTTATTAGTTTTTGAAAGACATCTGCAAAAGGGAAAGTGAAATTAGACTCAGCTCCTTTTTGTTGCTACTTTATATTGTTTTAAAAAAATGGTCAGAAAAACACAGTCAAAGTTTGTGTTGGAGATATTTTTACTCTCATTTTTAAATGACCCCCCCCCCAGGTCCTTCGTTGTCTGCAAGGCTTTGCAATGTCTGGGGAAAACAGGCAGGTGATGACTACCCAAGAGCCGAGAGCAGAAACCAGTTAACTAAATGGGAAGGGATTTCTGATGTGGCTGTTTCACAGAGTTTGGCACAAATCATACAGCTATTATTATAGTTAAAGCCAGTGATACATTTTATTCTGATTTGCTATTCCTCTTGTTGTTAACAAGTATTCAATTTCAATGACTAATCAAAGTCTGGGAGTTAGAAAACGTTTGATAAGGATTGAAACAGCTTTCTTCTGTATGAGGCTAAAAACGTACATCCGCTGAGTTACCCTAGGCTTGATGGTCTCTATTTCTGTGGTAAAAAGTAATAGAAAGTACCATTAAATAAATAAGCAGAAGTCCAGCTCAGGCCTTTTAGGCATTCTTAACACATTATAAAGAAGCAAATCAATCACAAAGTTAATTGCTAAAAACCCCACAGAAAACAAATAAAACCTTTGCAGAATACACTAAACACTGGAATACATTGAAGTGATTATTTACCTAGCAAGAATACAACTCTTTATTTATTTAAACATATATATATCTGTTCTGGCCACAATACTGCTGAATATAATCACAGGGGATGGTAAAAAGCTCAGGAGGAAGAAGAGCTTTGTGGTTTCATGCTGGGCTGTCTCCAAAGAGCTAGGTCCAGTCCCTTTCTGTAAGGCATCTCCCAGATAAGTCCCTCTGTCTTGCTTTCCTATTCATCAGTAACACAGAGAATAAGGCCGCAGGAGAATCCCAAATTTCCCTTGCTCCACACTGTGTTCTTGACAGATGGCATCTCCCAGATAAGTCCCTCTGTCTTGCCTTGCTTTCCTATTCATCAGTAACAGAGAATAAGACTGCAGGAGAATCCAAAATTTCCCTTGCTCCACACTGCGTTCTTGACAGACATTTTGCTATACTCTTAGTTGCTACCTCCTATCTTGTCTCAATTTACAATGTAGGAGACACGAGGAACTGTAAGAAGCCCTTTCATGCTGCATGCAAAGAGCCTAGAAATGCGATGTCTTCCTATGAGTTGTTGTCTTGCTATCAATAAATTTGTAAAAGGGAAATGCAAAGTTCCTGTGTTTGGAAAGACAGGGAAGGGAAATCCTCCTGCACCTAATGAGAAGCCTAATGAGCAATGGAAAAATTTGCTGAGAAATATTTGCAGGGACAACTGGGTCCTTTGCGCATCCTTAAATTTCATGGTGGGTTTCAAACACGCACCAAACTGTTGTGTCCCACTAGCTGCTCTGCAAGGAAGAGACTTTCCTCCTCCACTACTTGTAAGTTCTGCACGTAGCTGGTGACTGCACACACCAGGCTTCGCATCAGCTCCAGAGAGATGAGACATAAATGCATGTACAGTCACCCAAACAGTCTGGTGCCTCACTACCCTGCATCTTGGTTAGCCCTGTGTAAATCAAATGCCATGGGGGCACAAAATGTTACCAGATCCGACTTCGATGGCCAGCATTTTGTCAGGATTTTTACAAGTCCATGGGTAAGATAGTGATTATATTGCCTTCTTGCTTCACCTATATTGTAGGGGTTGCAATAACTATCTATAATGTTGGGATAACCTCTTGCAAAATGAGAGTTTAATATTAGGGTCTTTTGTGTCACTTTGTTCCTGCCAGTCAACGTGCATATGGCTTTGAGTTGGGGAACTAAAGATGTGTCTTACCTTCCAGGGCACTGGTGATGATGCTGACAGCGCTCACTGCCCTCTGCCTCTGAAAGGGTTCGTCCGAGTGGTCCACCGATGGGCGGTGGGGCATTAAAAGGTGCTTCTTGCTTGCCTCATCCGAGGGAGAGGTCTGCTTAAATGAACACATTGGATCAGCAAAATAAAAACAAGGCAGATATGGGGTAACATTTTCAAAATTGCCTTAGCATGGTTTTTCCCATCTGATAAGTCCAAAGCTCACCGATTTCCCAATTAGACGTGTGCTGATGGGGTACTGCTTTTGAAAATGGTACTTTGAGCAATTTTGGAAACTTTGCCCTGCCCTTTGCCTTCATGTAAATAGGTGAAAGATGCAGGTGAAAATAAAGGGACGCTTCTGGTGCCAGAGAAACAGCAGTGCTGCTTTACCATGTTCTTTGCTTGTGAAAGCAGCCCTGCTTAATTACATTAATTATTCCATTATTTCTGAAATGTGTTAACTGTTTAATTATACCGATAGAAGAGGAAACGGGGCGTGGGCAACAGCTCCATTACAGGCCTCTGATATAGTACCAAGCAAACTGACTCCTCAACACATGTTTTTTCTTGTTCTGAAACACTGCCAAATCTCAGGAACATATTGTCATTCTGGTGATCTTTGGTGTCACGGATTCCGAAGCTCCGTAATTAGGGGAGAATCTTGGCTTCTTTTTTCTCAGGAAAAATAAAAAAAACCCGTCAAACTATCTAGTTCTCATGTTTCTCAAGTAAAAGCTTAAAAAAAAAAAAAAAAGAAATAAAATACCAGAAAAACAGAACTCCGCAAACCGTCTTTATTTAATGTTTCATTTTAAATTAGTTTTATGCTTTTTGAAGGCTTGGGTTTCTGAAGTCAGCCAGAAACACAGTATAGCTGCAGACACACACTGTATTAAATACTTTATATTGTCAGCTCACAGGAGCAACATGTTAAGACTTCTACTATTACAAACTCCCACTTCATACGGAGACAAATCCTGCTTGCTTTACGCCTCCAGCTCTCCCACAGGTAGAAGGAAACGTGGTGGTTAAGGTGTAAGGATCTGGGAAAGCCAAGTTCAACGCCATTCTCTGTCTCAGACCTCCTGGTTGAGACACTCAGTCTCCCAAAATAAATGTTTTAACAGCCCCCGTCCTGCTCCTCCAAGCATACAGACTGTGAGCTCCGAGACACTACGTAAGCAAGAGAGAGACACTGTAGATAGATGGGTCCTGATGGCGCTTGTGATATAGCTCAAGGAAATGTGAAAGGAGAAGAGATTCCTATGAAGATGGAAACCTCTGGTTTATACAGGTGTCAGAGTAGCTGCTTTTGCTTCTCCATAGTCAAATGAGGTACAGGAATTGGATTCAGTCTTCTGGATCTTCTCTCATCACTTGGGTCTGAAATGGCCGTAACCACCCGGAGCAGCACTCAGGATGCCAACCGAGACCTGCCATGGGCAGCTGCTTCACAGCTCTGCTGTCTGTGCCTGGGATATGCACCCAGAGGGACTCAGGATCCCTCCTCTTGGCCATTTCTCTATCAAAACTGCTCTTCAAGAAAGGCAGTTCCATGAGAATAGCAGGAGAAAAGCACGGAAGCTCTACGAGCTGTCTTTCTGGTGTATGACCTCTTCAGGGCAGGGGACATCCCCTTGTCAGGTGGTTGCAACAAAGCCAGTTGGCCACTGATTGACACTGAAAATAGCCAGGATACTGGTCCTAGGTCACTTCAAAGTACGGCAGTTAAAAATACCAATCACTGCAAGACCAGAGAAGAGTAAGGACTTTTAAAGCAAGCACTTAAAACATTAGCTAAGCCAGGAAAGCAGTAATGCTTCAAAATGGCTTTTTTTTTTTTTTTTAATAAAATGTTCTCTTTTGTTAAAACAATTGGCTCATTGTCCATTGAGTTACTGATGCAGTCATCTTAAAAGGAGAGGTGTAATCAGAACTTATTCAAAGAGACTCTTACTTGTGCACAACATAACAAGAAAACACCCTATCCTTGGCTTAGGAGCTGGGGAAACCAGGAATGGTATTTCAGATGCATTAGTTCACTTGATTCCCTTCACCTCAAAAACATCCAACAAAAACCAAAGAAACAACAAATGTTTTATTAACAAAGAAAGCATCTACAGAATTGCATAATCATTTGCACCAGTTTGGAGTACATAACAAATACATGGGGCTGAAAAGAAATAACTAGACAAGGAGATAAAAAACATGAGGGAGACAAATTTCCAAGTAGAATAAACTAAAAAAGTAAAAGCAAAGAAAAAGGAAAAAAAAAAAGCCAAATAAAACCCCAACTCTTCCAGTTCCCTCTGTCTGTAGAATAAACCATAAGAAAACCTCAAATTTCAAATTCCTCTGGATCATCTAACTTTTTAAATTGTATCGTCTTTCCATCCCATCTGACCCAAAGCTTAGGACATACCAGTAGCATGACTTTGGACAACCTCATCCCCAGAAGTACCAGTTTTCTGACTGTCAAGAAAGATACTATATTCCTAGTCACGCATGCAGAAGTGCTTGCAGAAGTTATGGGTTGGTGGCCTTTATCTGAAAGCCACCTTTTACTCACAGGTGCAAAGAGAATTCACTGCAGAGGTAAAAAGTCAAAGGAAAAACATTCAGAGAGTCATTCTTCCTATTTTTTGATTCAGCTAAACCAGGGTAAATGAAAAGTCCAAGTTAAACAGGTTTGGTATATCCTTCATAAAAAAAATAGCAGGGAACTGACTTTTTCCCTAAGTTTGATGTGATATTCCCAACCCAACAAGTTTTTTAAGTCACTCTATTTTTCTTTCCAGCCCAGCATCCTCAGTCCTGCCACCTGTGTCACAAGAAGTGGTCCCCAAGACTTCAGGAGTTCCGCTGGAGTCAAGGGGACTGTTGGCAGCGTGCCATCCTCCGTGTGCAAAGGGGTATTTCTGAAGGAGACGTGTGCATGGCTCCTTCTTCATCTCTGGAGGGGCGAGGTGGTGAAATTTGCTGCTGGCTCTGCGTTCAGAGCAAACGCTGCCACACGTGATAGCCGCCTGCCTGCCCAGCTGCACGTGTCCCCGCCGGAGGGCAGAGCCCAAAGCCTGCTGCTCCCTGCCAGCCGCTCGGCAGCGGGCACACAGCGGACGTTCATCCCCAGAGCCAGGACACAGTGTCTGGCAGGCAATGTCGGGGTGTAAGGAATACTCCTGTCCTCTTGCAGGAGGACGTGGCCTCTTTACCAATAGAACAGTAAATCTGTCACATAGTCAGCTTGCAATTTACTATGAAGTATTTTTCCAGGAAAGAAAGTTTCCATCCAGGTGAATTGCTTAAAATTATTGAAGTTACTTAGGGAAGTTTATGAGCTTTTGTTCTTTGTAAATAGATATGTGAGGGGGGTGTGTGTTTATTATTTATTTTAGGACAGAGTTAGCTAGTAGTCACAGAAGGAACTGGCAGGTTTTGCACTCTGAGATAGAGAGCAGTTCCAGGAACTGGACGAACAAGGCAGCATAAAGGCTATTATCGTTACAGAGAGAATGTACACAGGCACAGTTGGTCATCGTACTTATATTTGTATAGAAGTTAAGCAAAAATAACAACAGTCCCTATAGTTACGCAAGGAGTCTCCTTAGGATGCAGATGAGAAATCACAACGGAATTAAACACAGGCACCTCCAGCAGGACAAGATTATTTGTGTTGCTCCCTTATTGACTGGAAACGTTTCTCCGTTGGATTAGCTGAATTCTATAGGGACAAATATGCTCTTCAGTAATTTACATGTAAATGAAGATGCATAACATTGCAGAATTATTTTCTTCGGACTGCCTACAGTTCTGAGTTACGCCAAAACTGTTATGTGAAGATGGGCTTATACATGGCAGCATTTTAAAGACCACATTTGGGAACTGGGACAAGTTTAATTTTCCTTGTACAGTAAAAATCTTTTCAAGCATAAAAAGAAGGCCACACCATGAACAATGGACCCAGTAAGGCACTAGCACAATTATTTAATGAGATTGAAGGTGACCATAATAGCGCACAGCATTAAAAAGAAGGCATTTAATTTTGTGGATACTTGATTATTTAAAAAGATGCACTGTAAACTGGAGCAGCTTGCAATATTTGTGTCAAATCTGCATTTACACTTAGGATGTGCTAAAGCAAAGTTTGAAATGAGCGGAAACTAGAGCCACAGTGACAGCTCTCTGTGCGACAGTGGCAGAGGGCTGGCTAGCTTTCGTCCGAATGACTTACTGGTGGCAATTTTTTGATGACTTATTTTGTTGACCTCTTTCTGAACATGAAAACTGCTAACACTTTGCCTTTTCACCAGTCCCATGGCAAAGCAAGAAGGGGAAAAAAGAAATTTTACCTCGAAGTGGTTTTAGGGTGAACAAGAAAACCTCAAACCAATGTGGTCAGCAAAACAGTTTTATGCTTAGCAAAACAAAAGCCGAAATTTTACCTCGAAGTGGTTTTAGGGTGAACAAGAAAACCTCAAACCAATGTGGTCAGCAAAACAGTTTTATGCTTAGCAAGAACAAAAGCCAAGGTCTTTTTTTTTTGTATAAAAAAGACAAAAAAGTTTATCTAAAGATAAGCATCTAAATCCTTAGTTCGGCACCTCGGTGAGCAGCCTGGCTTTTCTTAAGGGCTCATTCCCAAGTATTTTTCTCTCCTGTCAAGCTAGAAATACTCAGTACTTCTAGTTTCCTAAAAGAAAAAAAAATATGTGCAACCAAGATGAAATTCAGGAAAGGTTGTGTGTGCAAGAGGGAGACCCCAGGTAGCTCCAACCTCCACCTTGCTGCTCATCCCAAAGCCATGTCATGGGTGGCCCTGCTCCGCTGCTGGGCTGATGGGAAGCTTTGGTGAGCAAGTGAGAACAAAGCAATGGAGACCACCAGCCAACAGCCAGCTGCCCACTTGCAAACAATCACCTCCTCAGTCCCATGTCCATTTCTCTGCCACTTCTAACCTCCAAAATAATTGGAATGTCAGGCTAAACCAAACAACCCCTGTGATACCCCTGCAGAGTTACAGAAAGGGCTCAAATTGGCTTTAGGAGGCAAGAGGGGACGCTGCCATGTGTATTTTTTAACCCTTAAGAAATTCTTGAAAACCACAGGTGACATCTTACTCGTCCTCATCAGATCCCATGGATACATTGAGCTCCAGATAACAGCTCATTAACTTAATCCAATTCTGTTCAAACAGATCAATACCTTGTTGAAGGGAGATGTTATTCTAACCTCTTAAATAACTAAGAAACACCAAGACACAACAGAACAATACATAGCTACAAATAAATACTACAAGAATGTGCAGAAACTTTAGTTTGTAGTGTGCTCTGAAGTTACTTACATGATATATAGACTTTCTCTAAAAAAGACAATAGCCCAAGCTCCCAGCCCGGCAATCAGCAAGAGCATAAAAACGTATCATTTTTCAAACCTCTCAGTCTCAGGACAAGCCAAAAAAAATTAGGACTTTAAGCATGGTCACCATGGTCATCCTGCTTGTGTCTTATTTACACTGGGGTAAGTTCGATGAAATCAGCAGCTGCACCACTTGAAGAAAGCTGGTAGGAGAACAGGACCAGCCCTGATTCAGTCCTCTGCAGGGTACACTGGAGATTTCAAGGAGAGTGACTAGGACATACCACGGGTTTCTTGGGACAAGCTCCCTGCACCCCTCAGACTTGAATGCCTGTTGCTCTTCACATCCAGGTGAAGAATGCCTGACCCAGAGCCACCTCTGTGGGGGGTGTTTGCAGATCATACTTTCATATTGCACCACTTTGCTCTTCATACCTCAGCGGGCTTCCTAGCTTGAACACTGCAGTGTAACCCTCCGTGCTGCCAAGAGCAGCTCCCCGACAACGCTGCCACCACTCTTTGCGGGTGCTCTTATGTGGCATGGGAACATCAACGGGTGTAGCAAAGTGTGCAGAGTCTCATGGGATTCCTGCAGAGGAGAGGATGTCCCTCCTCTTGCTCAGGCTGTGCACTGAAGCCCCTGGTGACTGCATGGACGGATGCCATTCTGCATGGACCGTGCCAAACATGGCCAGCAAGCCTGCTGACCAGTCAGCCTACCCCATCTGACAAGACTGACAGGCCTAAGCAGCATTGATTGAGATTATTTGAAATCTCTCCTGTTTCACTAGCTGTATTTAGGGATTAGGGGGAGGAGATGGAAAGTGGAAGCACACTTTGTTTCTCACGGAAGCACACTCACAACCGTCTGTGCCAAGCAGCCAGGGCCATCTGAAAAGCATTTGAAACTGGCTTTTTTAGCTTACATGCTCTTCTTCAGCCAAGTGTCAGGAGACCACTCTTCTGAGTCACCAGCCTGAATAGTGGGATAATCTGCTGCAGCTGCCTCTCTCATGGGAAAGGGAACAAGCAGCATGGATACCTTCATGTCAGCTCAGCTGCCACCTGCAGCCATTCCCATGGGCAAAGAGACCTTGGCCGGGACAGGGGGTGGCAGTTGCAATGGCATAAAGGCATGAAAGTTGTTCATCGTGGTCCCAACTATTTTGCCTGGGGTAAAATCTTCAGGCTGAATGTTGTTAAAACTGATCAGGCTAAAATTCTCAAAAGTGGCTAGTGACTTTTTGTGCTTTCCCTGAGAAACCTTAGGAGGGCCCAGTTTGAAATCATCTGCTGAAACTATGGTCTGCTTAAGGGCTGCAGGTTGGAAACTCAAAACCAGAGACGGTCAGATCTTATTTGATGTTTACTCTGCCTTTTAAATTAGAAGGGCTTTTCCAAGCTTTCCCCAAACCAGAATTCAGCTGTCTCCCCCCTCAGTAGCAATCAGACAGGTCTGTTATGCTCATCTGATACTACTGAGCATCATAGAGGGACCTAAACAAATGCGTCTTCAAAACCTAATGCTGTAAAACATGTTTTGCCAGCTACATCACCTCAGATGTCGCATCTACATCAGTGAAGCCACACTTACACCTCAGGAAGCTGCAAGTCAGGGCTTAACACATATTACAGTGATGCCTTTTCATGGACTGATCCTTCGTTTCTTGTTTAGGGAAGATACAACAGATAGCACAAGTGGGTCCTTTTTCTCCATGGGCTTACACTTGTACAAAATAAATAAAACTGGCAAGGTCAGTGGGGTTAATGAGGTAACTTCAACTTCACGCTGCAACATCTTTCTTTTGCCTCCCCCAAACATATCAAGAGACTATAAAAAGAAGCCAGAGCTGCTAACAAACAAACTCAACTTCAAATTTTAACAAGAAAAAGGTGAAAGTAATCAAACACAAAGCCCAGAAGCATGTCGATTTATCTCTGAGCACACTGAGGTGTTGGATTTGCTATTTCCTTTTGCCTGCGGTCCACAACTGAGGCTGCACGTTTGTGCTCAGCGCTTATGGTTCCTGTAGTGAATACATCTGTACAGCAATGGGCTTCTTGCCAATTAGCTTTTAACTCCAGCTCACATTTTCTGGATAGATTAGATACCAAACCTGTTTTGCAGAAGACACAACATCCTTCACATTGCATCAATGAATGAGCATCTGTTACTATAGTGCCTGGGTGTTATTTCCTAGATGACCAGGGAACTGCCAAGTGAGCTCACCCACCCAGGCCATTTAATTTTCAACATCCTTTTTTTTAAAAGGCAGGAAGCTGGCAAATGAAAAGAAATGCCAGCAGAGCTCAAAGCCTCCCTGTCACCTCAGGGCCCAATCCTGTAAAATACCAATATTTCCCATGAAAGGTTGAGTGCTCTCATGCTTTGTTAAGATTTTTTTGACAGCTGGGAGAGCCTCAGCAGCCCGCAGAGCTGCTTTCCTTACAGAGGAAAGGGGGACGTCCGCTGCTCATCTACTGAAGCTTTTCTACTTTGGTTCAGATTTTTTTTTTTAAACAGATGTACAAACTCTATCTTCCACAGTTCCTTTAATGCACAGCTTTTTTGCACCAAGCTAAGTCCAATAAAACTCCACTATCTACAAATAGTGTTTCTGCTGCTCAGCTGTCTAGAGACTGCTCTCAGGACTGGTCTTCCTTGTCTGCAGAGAGTAAAAATGGGAGTACCAAAGTCCTAAATGAACAAAGGTGTGAACATCTGAAAAAGCAGCAACAGCCTCAAAACTGTCAACAAAACAGATAATTCTCACACCACCCAGCACGGCCCCTCCTCTCACATACAGTGTGAGAGTCTATTTGCAGGACTACAGGGAATGCCTGGATAGCTGAGGAAAAAAATTCAATACAAAGCTTGAAAGGGAAGAAGCTGCCTGGCTCTAGAGAAAAAAAAAAAAGCTACTTCTCAATTTACTGATAATCTGACACCACGGCTGGGATCCATCTCACTCGCCTTTCTCTTCAGGAAATACCTTGCCTAATACATGTTAGAATCACATTTGCTTATTTCCCCAACAATGTAACCCGTTTTTGGCACCTGGTTATTCTGAGTAGGTTTCATCTCACCTGACTTAAGACATGTGCAATACAGAGTTATTCACCTTGGGCTCCCCTTGTAGTTAAAGTGAACAGAAAGAGGGACTTTTAGGGAGAGAGATTATTCTGACCCATTTTAGATCTCTAAGATGAAATAAATCCTGCCCACACTGGCCATAATGACTAGACCTCTGTTGCTTTAAAGACTGTTGAGAGTAATGAGCTCCAATGTAGATTATCTACATTAAAAGAGATAAATTCCCACCATGTCAAACTGGCAACCTGTCCAAATTGTCCTGCCTGTGTAGCAGCTATTTCCAAAACACCATCTCATAGTTTTCCAAGTGAATTTGTGCTTGGGTCCTAATGGTATCAGTCTTAATAGTTTTATTTACAGCCTTAATAAATAATTTGCAGCAGTGGTGCTTTGCAACAAATATCCTGGCAATCTACAAAAGGCTTGAAGTCTGTTGATCATCTGCTCATCTTTCCTGGGTGTTATTTGAACTGGATGTTAAACCCTTCTGGGAACTACCTTCGGACCGTAAGAACAGCCCTCCACAAGTAGCTATACAGAAGACGAGGTTAGATGCAAACAGATAGCAACCAGTGGGAGAAAACGCAGTCTCAAGATGGTAAGACTCACACCGAGTCATTTTAAAAACATCATTTTCTAGCCACCGGACATTGTCAGATATTCAAACGTCAAAAGAAACCAACTTAAAAAATGTCCCTACAAGAAAAGAAAATTCATATCAAACCCAAGATTTAGGTATTTGCCTCCAGCCAGCTCTGAAGAGTAAGTCTCACCAGAAGTCATGAACCTCTCTTATGCAGCACTAGACACACGTTGCTGTGGGAGTTATGCCATCGTCTTCCCACCCTGCCTCAGGATGCTGGGTCTGGGTTTCTCACTGCAGACTGCATATGGCGTAAATCAATGACAGCAAACTCTTACAACATTTAGAAGGAAACAAGAGCGTGAATCACATACAAAAGTTATAAAGTACTCACCAGGTCGCCTGTCCCAGGTTTTTCCATAATAACTGGGGGGAGCAGTAACCCTGCAGGAGAAGTAGGGTCTGGGTTGAGTGCCCCGGTGCCTCCTCCTATCAGGGAAACCACACCATTGCAATCCACTGAGCTGTTCCTTTTGCCCGTCTGGGTGTAGTTGGGAGTAGTAGGGTGAGAACTATGGCTCACTTGACTTTGCACGCTCGGACGCCTCCCAGATCTTGGAATTAAGAGAGAGCCCCGGTGGCTTTCATTTTCCCCAGCAGTGCTGATCTCATCATCGGCAAAATCTGTTTCGGAGCCAGTGTCTCTGCCACGGAGTCGGAAACTGAATATGCTTCCGTGGCTGGTTCTGCGCTTCACCAAGTTTGCACTGGGACCATAACTAATGTCAAGGAGAGTCTAGAAACCCCCGGAAAGGAAAAAGGGGAAAGAGAAACAACATTTTGCAACACGTTTTCAGGAGCGAGGAAGGTCTGGGGAGAGCAGTAAGTTCCATTTTAAATCAAGTGCTTCAGAGAAAGACTTAATTACACGTATTCAACCTTCACAAAGTTAAGAGGTTGAATAGTTATTCCTAGCCATTAGGTATTTGTTTAATACTTGACAGTTAAAGATGTACTGAAATAGGAAGGGTCAAGGTGGCATTCACCTCGTAGCGTGATACTTCCTTTGCTTCTACTCCCTGCCCCCCCCATCTGATAAGTGCCAAAGGACTTGGGAAGGCAGCACAAGGAGTGGAAGACAGGAGCAGGGAAGGGGATCCAGCTCCAGTTTACCGCATTATCACACATCTTCATAACAGCTAGGGAAGGAACGTTGCAGCGGGAGAAGAAGAGATAAAGAAATAGGGCAGGAAATGAACTGCAGGGGAAATGAGAAGAAGAAGGAAGAAGAAGAAGCAGAATACGACGGACGAAGGTGATAAAGGAAAAAAAAAACCAAGAGCAAGAAGAGGGATATGGTTTATTAGTTTGTAGAATGATTATCCCAATGCACGTGGCTGCTTTAAGGGGCAGGTAACCTCAGTACACAGCAGTCTCCCTCACACCCAAATATCAGCCTTGACGATCCACTCTGACATCAGCTAGTGAGAGTGCAACTCTGACAGAGCATCCGCAAGACGTAGCCAAGCACTAAACACACCTAAACCCTGGCAGAGTAAAAAGGATGTTCAGAAAATGCATAAGGAATTAAAGTCTATCCCCTTCCCTCATATCTGAAGAGGAAATTATTGGAATAAGAGCATTTAGGCAGAACATACTTTTGATTTTATGGCCCGTACAGAATTTTCAGCTTCTTCAGAACTTTCTCATGAGCCAAGTATATATGAAGAGAGGTCAGATCTCCACAGCATCCACAAACGAGACAAACCAAATGAAGCCTGATTTCATTTCGCACTGTAGCTCACACCACTGAGTTACGTAATGATGTTATTTTGTGACACCGGTACAAGGAAGAGTACAAAACCCAGGCCCCTTCTAACTAAAAACAACCCATTTGGATTGCTACCGAATTTCAACTGGTCAAAAATCCGTGCCTGGGTTTCCATGGCACAGTCATTGAGACTGATTTCTGATGGCAACACACTTCCAGCTGCTCAGATTGCATCTGAATGATGACTCAGCCTTACTCCCTCCAACCATGCCAGACACAGCCTTGCAGAGAAGATTTACTATAAGCTTTGAAATGTGTCTCCCATGTTTCTCATGCATATGACATCCAGGGGCGAAATGTGAAAACAAGAAATATTAATCTAAGAAACAAACTGGCAATGCACAGCTCCAATCCACGGTCATTCTGGTACGTGGTGTCTTGAAACCTACCCAGAATGAAGCTAAAGAGCAATTCCAGCTTTAACAAAGGTGTAATTTGTAACGGGACCCACTCAAGCAATGAGACAACAGCAAAAACTATTAGATTAAGAATAGCATGCCATTTACAGAAATCCAGCTCTGTGTAAATTTTGTGAGCTGGGGAGTCATTAATTGGTCACATTTACTTACATCACTTACATGTTTTCTTTGAGCTTTTTATGGCTGCCAAATATCCCTAAATTCACTGACAACAAAATATAAAAAGGCTTAGCCCATTACATAGCTATTCAAAAAACCAAAATAAACTGATTTAAACTTTGCCCTCAGTTAAGCAAAGACAAATTATGTGAAGCTGTTTATGATCATTTGATACATACAGCATGTGCAAATTCATGTTCATGCATGTCAGTAACATTTATATAAAACCCTATTTAACAACAGCCTCACTATTTTTTTTCCCTGCAATAGAATGTAGAAACAAGTGCCACAAAGTTTTGACTTGAAGGCAACTAGAAAAGGAATACAAAAATGTTAATAACGTCTTTGTATAGCATTTAAAAAGCCCTCAGAGACAAGTTTCCTCCTTTTCTCCTCCTCTCTTTTCTTTTTAAGCTTTGCAGGTTTCCTCTAAGAATTTTTTTATCTCTAGTGGGGATAGGATAGATATAATCAGATGAATGAAATTAAAGTAAGAAAATAAACCAGACTGTGCGTAATCTTGAAGCAGAAAAAAAAAAGTAAAAAAAAATTGAAACAAAATAGATTCGTAAGAATGTTTAATGGGCGTTTTTAATTCATTTTGAAAATAAAGTGGTAATATGTTTCCTTCCACTGTTCTAACACAGACTGTCTGCAGGTCAGTTATGATATTGAATAGATGATTCTTCTTTACAGCTCAAAGTTTCAGCTTTAATTACCTATTCAAAGCCTGGCCTATCCAGCAAAGTGCAGTGTGAAATAAGTAACGTTTCAGACCGTGGCTTACCATTCTCCTCTGACCATCATCGTAGTCACACTTGGGATTCCTTTGGTCTTCCCCATACTCTTCTGCCCCCAAAGATTTCTTTTTCTTTCGCCTGTTTCTTCTTTCCTTGGCATTTTTTGATGCTAAAGGTGACATTTCCAATGAACTAAGTGACATTGAATCAATTCCTTTAGCAGCGAGTGCCTAAAAGAGAAGATGGTAGAAGGTATAAAATTTATTATTTGAATTAAGGATCTCAGTGAGAACTAATAATTACTCTGCTCAGCAATTATTTTTCATTTTAAGTTTTAAGGTTGTATAGGAGATAAATTAAAAATGTCAGTGGTCATTAATCATAAAACTCTCTCACATGGCTGGAACCAGCCTTAACCTGTTTCTAACCTCTACAGTTAGCCATAGGAAAATAAACAACAAGCGAGACGGGTTCCTAGTACAAATGCACACATGCAGGTCTGCCACCCAGATCCTATGACGGAGCATTAGGAATGGCTGCATAAAATAATGTGATTTATGTAGAGCTCACACACAAGTTCCTTTGCCATTTCATGAGCGGAACAGCCTGTGTGCACACACCTGCAGGTGTACACTGTGCACACATCTCTGGAGTAACACTTCTGGTGCCAGTCAAAAAAAATCTCAAGCTGGGGAACCTCAGATTAAGCCCCCCTGGACTTCAGCCGCTTGAACCTGGAGGGCCGGACAGGAGGGCAGCCAAGCTGGCTGCCGGGATATTTCCTCCCCTATCACAGAGGGATGCTAGGAACAGCAGGCAATTCAGCCGGCACGTTTTTGTAAACACTTATCCCAAGCAGCAACACAGGCAGCTATGGTGAGAGATGCAAAGAGCAAACCGTGGGCTTAACTGGAGATAAGGTGGACTTCGCTTTGCCGTGTGCTTCAGTGCTGTGCTGGCTATCTGGTGGCATCGCTGCAGGAGCTGACTGATAACAGACCAACTCCTAGAAACCCAGCAGAAGCTGAATGCGAAAGCCTGAGCACAAAAAAACACAGCCTGGGAAGCAAATGAGCAGCCAGGAGAAAGAATCGATAGGTGCAGGGAGGAAGCCGCAGCCCACGCCAGCGCGTTGGGTCCCCATCCCTGGTGCAGGCAGGAGGAGCAAGGGGGCTCTGAGCACAAAGCACGAGGTCAGGTTTGGAGGTGCCGGCATCTCAGTGGTAGCCACATCAGTGGCCCAGAGACAAGCCCATTTGCAGAGCCCGCAGCTGAAATACATAAAGTGAGTGAATTACAAAGGAAAAAAAAAAGCCTCTCCAGGTTCCCAAGAACAGGAGAAACGGATGAATCCTCAGTGCTATTGTCTGTAAGCCACTACAATCAAACAGGCAATCAGCTCTCCGCAGCAAAATACTCCCTTCCTCCCACAGGCATCAGTCCAAGGAAAGTGAAGGCACTTAACAGTCATGTAAAGAATCAATCACGTATTTCAAGGAGCAGCGGTAGCTCTATCAAGCTGAGAGCACAACAAAACTTAATTCCTGTGGGAAATACCTTTCACGAGCAAGCTGCTTAGAGCAGAGAGGAGGGCTCAGACGCTGGTCTAGGCTGGTTTTTTTTTTTCTTTTTCGAGTCAATTGATTTAATTGCTAGGCTGAAGTGCTTTCTCTTCATAAAGATTCAGCAAGTCTTTTGGTGTTAAGTTCAGGTTTAGGAATGTGTTAGACAAATTGTGTAAATTGACTGATAGTCCCCAAGCAGGCCTATCAATTATATTTGAGAGAGGAGGGCTCAGACGCTGGTCTAGGCTGGTTTTTTTTTTTCTTTTTCGAGTCAATTGATTTAATTGCTAGGCTGAAGTGCTTTCTCTTCATAAAGATTCAGCAAGTCTTTTGGTGTTAAGTTCAGGTTTAGGAATGTGTTAGACAAATTGTGTAAATTGACTGATAGTCCCCAAGCAGGCCTATCAATTATATTTGAGCTCTCTTTATACTGCACAGTGTAAAAGCTAGTCTAAAGAGTTTCAGTTTTCCTTTCCGATTGCCGTCATATTTTATTGATCTAGAAAATATTGTAGTTTGTACTACTAGGCGTGCTGTACTCTTACTGCAGAATAAGCTAATTTTCAGTTTCTTAGCATTTTCTTACCTATTGCTTAGGTTGAAATGCTTCTGCCCTGCGTACCTTTTTCAGTCGTTGAAAAAGGATTTGGACCAAATTGTTTCTCAGAGCATGGATGATGTCCCTGTGTCCTGTCTATCTACCTTTTCTGTGGAAGTGTCCTGCCCCTCAGGCATTGCAAGCCATAACTCACTGTGATATCTCCCAGGGCAGGGAAGGAGTTTGGGACCAGGCATGTCTGGCAAGGACGGGTGGTGGCTGAAGGATGGAAGAAAAGCTTAGCTCTCACAAGCCCTGACATGGGGAGTACTCAGTCCTATCTCCAGACTATCCTATCTCAAGTCCTATCTCTAGGACTCTCGCCTCAAGGCAAGAACTTAGTGGTATGGTGAGAAAGTCAAAACCAAGAACTTGATAAAGGCTTGGGGAGCAAGATTAAAACTGAGTAGCTCTGACTGGGGTGAGACACCTGAGAAGGACATCTGAAAGCTACATGGTGTAGCAGACCACTCAATCCACTTTCCTGAGCCTCTTCTTCCAGATGTCTAATTTGAGATGGTGCGGGCTGCTCTGCAGAATTACTGAGCTTCACTAATGAACACAATGGACCCCAATTACTCTACTCCTAAGTTTCCTTTCCATAAACTTGGGATAATTCTCCAGGAGTACTGCAAATACAAATGAGTATTTTTGAAGCACACAGAGTCTGAGCAGTGACAAGAGGCACTGAAAAACCTCTGAGGATGTTAGTCATTTTGTCTTAGAAGCAGGCTTTGAATGCCTGAGTCGGGAAGTCTGCTCGAGCTGGCCTAAGGCTACAGAACAAATGATGAGAAAGTGAAGAGCTGCTCTTGAGTCATGCACTGTCCACCCTTTGTACTGAGCAGGGCACAGGAAAAATGAGACGTCGTCGGCTGAAGAAAAGACTATGTTATAAAGCATATAGATAAATGGGAACAATTTAGGTTTTCACGAGCAACCTTCATTTTGACACATTCTGACTTGCACGACTTAATGTTCCTTTTTTGTGTACATACAGGCTTAACTGAAATCAAAGCCTTCAAAAGGAAATTCTTAAGTGTCTTTAATTATAGCTGGGGCTACCAAAGTTGACTGTTATTAGGAAGAGCTCAGCTGGAGTCAAACCACATGAAAATTTATATAAAATAGGTATGAGTTGGAGCTCAGTTTGCTCCCTTAGGTTATGGCAGAACGTTACTCTGTTCAAAGTGCCTGTATATGGACTAAATTGCATTTACCTATTACTTAAACCATCAAAGAGGATCTTTAAAAGGACTTAAATGATGTATAAGCCTTTACTAGCACTTTGTCAAGGGTGAATTGCATTTTCTATTTTCTTTCCAAGGATTTAAATGGGTTTTGGATTAGGCCCTGAAACCATATGTACCCAAAAGAAAATTATGTATATTAGTTTATATTGTGTATCAAGGATTTATTTCTCTGAACTACAGTGCTACATGTTATTTCAGACTAATTTTCTTATTGTCTTCTTGTTCACAGCACCTAAAATGTTCTCTTCAGCTGTTTAATAAAGGCTTTCTACCCCACACAAACCACAGGCAAATTAACTAGTGCTATTAAGGCTGTATGGCTACATCCACCATTCGGCCTCCCTGTTTTGTTTAAGCTTATGACATAACATTGAATCCATATCCTTTGCATAATTTGCAAAGCCTAACCTCAAGACCTGCCTGTTTACTTTTTCAGGAATGAAGTCGTATGTGCTTTGACAGTGAGGAAACGAACGTGAGCTAAAGTGATGGTGGAAGAAGGTTCAGCTGGGGCTATGCCTGAGCTGCCAAAATAGCTGTTCTGTGCTCAGATGCAGATGTCGTTATACCATCATTAAAATGTCTTATATGCCAATCAATATAAATTTCTCTGCTGGCATAAGTGGTACAGTTAAACCAATACAACTCTGGATAGGTAAACCCTAAATGGCCATTATCCTAGTAGGAAGAGCCATCCTTTTTCTTTGGAAAAGATTGTAATAAATCTGTCCAGGACAATAAACATTAAGCTGCTTTCAAACAAACTCTTACTTCAGTTATCACATGAATGCAAAATAAGGAGAATGTGAATCTCAAAGTACCATCTGTTCAAGTTACCCAAGGCTAATCATGTCACATAGTTTACTGACCTCCTGCTCTTTCTTTAACATCTCCATGGCTTCCCGAAACTTTCTTTCCTTCTCCTCTGTTTCAGCGATAGTGGCTTGGTTCTGCTCTTCATACGCCATGGCCACAACAGCCAGAATCAGGTTGACCAGATAAAATGAGCCCAGAAAGATGACCAGCATAAAAAAAAGCATGTAGATCTTCCCAGCAGATCTGAGAGTCTGTAAGCATGAAAGTAAAATCACTAACACTTGTTTACAATGTTTTTTAAAAGAAAAGAAAAAAATATTTTTTTTTAAAACTTAGATTTACAATATAATTGAATTCAGCCTTTGTTACTAGCCCAGACAGAATCCTTCTGATGACAAACGACAACTACATGCAAAGAAATAACCTTCTCACCAATAAATTTTTATACCTTATTCAAAAATGGTGTGCCTTGCAGTAGAATTCATTTTTAAAAGAAAAGTGCTCTCCTCCTTTACCAAATATCTCTGCTGGGTTTTTTTGAGAATAGATAATCTTATAATCAGCTGCGGTGAAAGCTTCCCCCACACAGCTCAATCTATTTTTGTCCAGTGCATAGAATCTTTCCAAGCGGGATTCATGTTGTATCCCTTCAGATGTCTACAGTCTAGGTCCTTTACAGTCAGTGGGGAGAAAAAGATACTTTTAGGGTGCAACTCATCTGAATGTTATCTGAACTCTTCTGCCTCAGGATAAGAAGAACCAAACCTTGGGCGCTGTTGACTGTATTGCCTGGTTCTCCATCAGATTCATAGGCATAACTGGAGTTTAGGGTAACAGGCTGGGATTATATTACAGATATGTCCCATGGTCAATGACTTGATGCTAGTGATAGAAACCACTGTGTGATATTATAAGGTCAAATAATAAAAGGGAGTGATGTTCACCCTTATTTGCCATGACAGTTTCAGCCTTCCAGAGTTGTACACGCAGCTCTGTGCCAAGTAAGCAAATATAGTTGTTTAAAGAATCTTCAATTTAATTGTTTTACATTTTCCTAAAATGAAATTGTATAACTGGCTGCATGTGAAACTGAAATCCCCAGTACCTTTAAAGATGTCTACCTCAGTACCTTCAGAGTAGTATCTGTCAGCACTAACTCCCTTGATTTCCTTACGAGTATGCTTCGGTTTTGGCAATTTGGAGATGCAGAAGTAAATCTTCAGTGGCTTCATGGACAGAGTATAGAATTCAGTACCAAACTATCACATGCAGTTCTTCAGAGTTTGCATACATTTCAGGAAATGCATGCTAAAATGAGCATTTACTAGCAGACCACCTTGCACCCATGACTGTAAGTTGACTGTAAGTTGTCCATGATGAAAAGTTTGCAGCAGGGAGAGCTGAAAGGTACCAGGTAGTCTTGCCATCCGGTGAATTTGTGTTCATTGTCATGCCTTGCAAAAATAGATATGCCAAGCACACATGTGCTTCTTTAGTCCTTTTTTGAGCTGGCCTCAAAAGATTAGTTCATGTTACGCCAATGAAAAAAAGTCATTAAGTGGTGAAGTGGTGATCTTTCTTAAGTGGTGAACTTCATTTAGATTCAGGTGAATTACCCATTCAAAGTGTCTTTCTCTCAGCATCAATTTTCCCCCCTTTCCCCAAACACCCAGCCTAATGTCTTCTGGTATCATCACTCCTAAGAAATGAAATTAATTGTAACAGTTGATGGTCCTTGTCCACAACACACAGAGGACAGTTTACCTTATCACCAGCAATTCTTTCTTGTCTTTAATTATTGGATATATAATTGTAACAAGATGATGTGTTTATTTTCTATTTTTTAACAGTAATAAAACAATCTCATACCTGTTGATAAAGACGTTCCCAATAATCTTGAGTCATAAGACGGAACAAAGAGAGAAAGGCCCAGCCAAAAGTATCAAAGCTTGTGTAACCATGGTCAGGATTTTCCCCAGCTTTCAGACATATATATCCCTCAGGGCATGTGCTGCGAAACATGAAAGACAATACATGAAATGCATCATAGATGGCCTCAGCATGGAGAAACTGATTTCCAAGGGAACATATAGAACGCTTTTGGTTAAGGGCACAGATCCTCAATGGTAAATTCCTTCACTGGGTGAAAACACAGGAAACAGGTGGACGCTGACTTCACAATACCAAAGATCTTTGCAATCTTATTTTTCCCTTGAAAGGATAAACTGGAAAATGGTAACCATAGCTCGAGCTGCAATGGCAAATGAGCACCTAGCATTTCAGATGTTTGGAATAGATGGGAATTAGGTGCCTAAGCAGGGCTTCAGTGCTTAAATATGATTTCTGTTGGCACTTATTCCTAAATAAGAATCATAATCGTGGTGTCTCCTGTTATAGTTGTGGGTAATACTGGGATGGTGAACCTGCTTTTCTGGATACAGAGTCTGACACTGTTGGGATGACATCAGCGTGTGCCATCTGGGCACCTTCCCTATTTCTTACTATGCTTGACCTTGAACTCACCCCCTGCAAGGACTAAATCTTTGATCTAAGAAACCCAGCCCTTTGTTCTGCTCACTGCCATAGTCTGGGGTCATGACATTTTTTCTGTTTCTGCCAGGAAAATATTTTCCTTGTGTGTCTTGCAGATTCACATATTAAATGGCATGCAAATAGCATGAATTTCACTGGCTCTCGTTAAACTTTGAGACTCTTTACAAGTAATTTTCTAGCCCCATATGCCCGAAGAGAAAAAGAATGCTCTCAGTGGTACTATGTAAATACTGAATTGCATCATCAAGTGAAACACAAGGCAGAAGAGATGCCGGGTCAAGGAGACACCCTCTCTCCCAGAATGGTGCAATATGACTAGTCAAAAGACCCCACACCTCTTGCATATCACAAGCTGCTTTCCGAACATAAGATACGCCCCATCAGAAACTGAAGACATAGAGCAATATGCAAAGGCTTACTGCTATAGGTATCATAGGAAGAGAATATGAGATCAAGGACGTTGCCAGTGTCCTGGAGCCCTACAGTATTTGGGAATTTGTTAGGTGGGAATCATCTAACTATCTGGAGAAGCAGATCTCGGCAGAACTTGCAGTAATGCCAGCTCTCTCTGTTCTCCTTATGCTTCAGACTGGGATGAACCTAGTACGATTTGGTGCAAATTCTAGCTGACACAACTAGGGGTGGTTGGAACAAGAGGGATTGTGAAAGCACTTTGTCAAGTATCAGAGACATTGAGAGAGACCAGCTTCCAGGCAATGTTTTGATAACAGAGCAATACCTTCTGTCCTGGGCAGATGGTGAGATTGATGTTCTGCCTGTCAGATGGAGGAATCAAGGTTTTCTGAACTGCCTTCGGATAGGATGATCAGTGTAATATCCAGCCATTTTAGGCACATCACCAGTCATGTAGAGTGTGTCCAATGTGTACAGCTTTTAACTTTTTTTTCCCCCCAGCAAAAACCCATAAAGTGTTTCAATCACTGCTATTTTTTTACCAAAGCAGAATATTGCCACAAATTGAAATGCAAAGAAGTAATATAAATAAAAGTAATTTTTAAAATGCCACCCAAAAAAGAAATTGACTCTTGAGAAAGCAGAGTATGTCTCAGTATGAAAATCAGGGATGGGGGTTTTTTAGATATCAATTTTATACTGATATAAATCAAATCTCTACAGCATAGGACAGCAACTATATTACATGTCGAGATGAGAATACATTGCTATAGGTTTTGAAGTTACACAAATCTATGGTGTCAGCCATCAACATTAGACATTCAACAACACTTTAAGAAGCTTAATTTAATATCATTAGTCAAACACAAATTTTTGAGTAAGTCTGCTTTGAACGCTGAAAAAAGGAGTGCTGAAGCATTGCAAAATTTGTGCATATCCTTGTTTGCAGTAGTCTTCAGAAAAAGCAATAAAAAAATGAAAAAGAACAGCTGATGTTTAATGAATTAAATGTAACACACAAGTGAGAATATAATAAGTGATTCTGTCACCTTAGGCAGAGCCAAGTTAGTTTATATCAGTTGAGAATTTAGATAATAGTAACTATATCTCACAAAGAAAGAAAAAGAGAGACACTTCTATTTTTTTTCTCTGCTAGCCCAGAAATGCCTCCTTCTAGATTGTTCCTACTTTGACTACCTATTGTTTTCTGGTAAGAGCCACATTTGAATAAAAATTACAGTAACATTACTGAGTTAGAAGAGCATAAAATGCAGAAATCTCAGCTTTTTTCCCCTAAAATATAGAGATGCACACTGAATCTCTTTTGTATAACCATGTCCTTTTTTGAGGTAGCCTTTTCACTAAATCTCTGTCCCAAAGGCAGCATCTTCTGTCACTCTCTGCCATAGGGACATGAGATTTCTGCCTATGATCTGCTGCTGCAGACAGCCTTCAGTGCCTGTGACGTGCTGCTGACACTGTTCAAGAGCTCTGAGAAATGGATCCTCTGGGTTCCTGAGAAGGCAACCCTTTCCGCTCACTTGCACTAAGATGTCATGTCCAGACAGGACAAGAAAATTTTTGTAAGGCTCATTCCTCTTGTCATGAGAAAATGACTGCACTCACACACTGTGCTTGGCTGGAAACCGAGTGATCATGTCCAGAGGTGGACAGACTTTTCTTAGTCTTCCACGAAAGACCAATCCCAAGTGGCTCCATTGAGCTGGTCTCATCGTTCATCTCATTTTAATGTTGTTACTAATGGCTAAAACATCTGAATACAGCTGTGAGAAACTTGATGGTGATTACTTTAATGGTGAACTTAAGCCTAGGCAGGGCAGTCGGTTGGAAATCAGGTTTCACCTAGAACAAGTTGCTTAAAACCTTAGGCAAAATGGAAATTTTGCCATTAATTTCAATATGAAAGAGAGGGAGACTTTCCTTTTAATCTCTTCACCATTTTGAACAAGAGAGTCTGAAAGAAAGGAGATATTAAAAGCATTGCGCTTCGATGTACTTCCATAGGAACCTCTCGGCACCACGAGATTAGAGGCCACAGTCACTCTTAGGTTCATGGCCAACGTTGTTTCCCGGGGAAGCTCTGTTTTGATACAGAAGAACATTAGAGCAACCACTTGAAGTACTTTATCACAACTGCTTGGAAAGCCCTAGGACATGGAGATGCAAATCTTCTGACTGTGAAAGTGACCAATGGCACCTCAGACAAATATTTTCTGTTTATAATACAATTAGTATTTTTTCATGTTTCATTATGTCTTTATGTGTGTCTAAAACCTTTTCCACTCAGCAGTAGATTGCTGGTGTGAAAAGATCTGTCTGACTCCACAGTGAGTGTACACGGTTCTCTAATATTATGTTCAGCTGTAAGAGCATTCAGATGAGGTGTCTTCAGCATGAAAAGCATGAACTCCAGCCCAAAAATGCTATTAATGTTAGCTCATATCATTCTTATAGAGACTAGACACTTGAGACAAAATACCCTACTTTTCAACTCCTTATTCTTGCTCACCCTGTTTCGTAGCTGCCAGAAGCGATAACCCATGGGGTATGGGAACGCGTTAAAAACCCCGAGAGGAAAACAAAATGCTGCTTTCCAGAAAAAGACTACAGAAAGTTAGGTGTAAGACTTTCACATGAGAATATTATTCTGCAACTGACACCATCTCCTCTGAGGATTTTTTTAAGGAGTCTCAAGATTTTGCTGAAGCGTCTTCGATGTATAATGTTAAGCCTTCCCCTTTGGATTTTTTAGCAAACTTTTTAGCTTCTTTTACCTCGGGGAAGCATTTCACAGGATTGCACTCTTCTCTAATGTACAGGGATGAGCAACAACAACAAGCTACATAAATATAACATCCTCCACAGGAGCCTCACAGGATGCTGTTCAATTGATCACAATAAAATTAGTGTCATTGATTCAGAAAAGTTAAAAGCATCAGTCTACCTACCTATCCATCAGGCTGTAATCACCATTGTAAGCTGGCATTGGTACAGGAAATTAAAGAACATAAGGAACAGCTTTGTTTTAAATAACACAGATTGGGAATGCCAGAGAGTTGTAGCTGAGGGGCATAATTACAAAATGCTCTGGCTCAAGAGTTTGATCTAGGCAAGCCAAGTAACCTGCTGATCCAGGCTGTAGTGGCCAATAGGGTTGTGCAATAAAAGAAGATTTGTAAAACCACCATGTGCTAGATTGTAACATTCAAACCCTGAAAATACGGGAAGGTTGTCCATGTGTCACCGGGAGTTAGCATCAGACAGCTGCTAATGTTAGCTATGACATATGTAAGGTAAGGTAAGCACTTTCATTTGGTTTAGGTTGCAAAGGCACACTATGGCTTGCTACACCAAATTGCTTACGAAAGAAGCGATAATGGGAGATAAAGTGCATGCCACAGACACAGAAAAATTAAAAAACCAAAACCATATTGTGGTAAGGGCCCCGTAGTGTTTCTGCTTAGTCACAGCTTAAGCCCAAGAATGCAGAAATCAAGCTGAAACGTTTATAGGTGATGTCTTTGACACACGGCTAATTCCAGGGGAATGGAAACCACCCTGGTGAGCACGGTGGGGTTTCAAAGCCTGGGAGTAAGAGCTGGAAGGACAGACAGTGCCCATGGCCTCCAAGGCTTGTTGATGTGCACAGTAGAGTCCTACTCGACCTGCCTCTTGGTGCTAAAGTCCTCAGACCACAAAGGAGAGGCTTAGATCTCCTTTAGGTCACCTGCCTGAGTGCTTTTCTCTGCACTTTTCATGTTTTCTCACTTCCCTTGGCTTTGAGGGAGAAGACCAGCACCAAACAAGGAGTGCATACTGTGCAGTGGTTGGGGGGGGAACAGGTAAAGATCCTTAGATTAACATTTGCTCCTACCTGACAAGATGAAATTTCCCATTCTGAAACAGGGCAACTTTTTTTTTTTTTTTAACGGATATTGTAAAGGGGACTGGGCATGTAGGAGAAAGGGGCTGAAAGGCAGCAGCACCCCAGCCAAAGCCAGCCGTTGCTGTCAGCGGGTGCTC